TTTTTTTTTTTTTTGAAATAATGAAGTTTTTTCCAGTTACTAACAAGTAATTTACTTAATTTGCTTTAAATTTTACATATTGGAGTAATTGATTATAAAGATTTTCGGGTAACCTATGACCGTCCCGAGTAATTCGGGTCCTCGAAACCAGGGTACCCGATTTTTCGGGTCGGGACATGGGCCGAGGTTTAACTACCCGAAGATCCGGGTACCCGCTCGGGTACCCGGATTTGAACACCCCTACTTGGAGCCAAAGAGCAAGAGATGAGTCATTACATTCATTGGATAATACTTGAGTAATAATTACTCAATTATAGTGCCCTGAATCAAGGTCAATCCGTGAGCAGCACAATATTTCAGTTCAAAATATTATGTTTTCTAGTTGGTTAGTAATAACAAATTGTTGATATATTATGGGTAAATTTAAGTTTCTCTCTGAGATGAATCTGTGAATATATCTCCTCTCACAATCTAATCATTTTATTTTTTTTTTGATAAAGTTAATAATAGAGAGGTAATAAATCCATCCATAAAGTTGTGAGAGGAGATAAACTAGAATTGTTAATCCCTGAGATTAATTGGGGCTCCCTCATATATTATTCCTCACCAAATAAAATATTCGAGCAAGTACCTAATTTTCGTATGATAGATTATTACATACGGAGGTGTTTTTTTGGTGATTAGAGAGTTAAGGGCGAGTGATGAGAATCGATCCCTAGGCCTCTTGGAATCAGAAAGGAAGCTCTAACCACTTGAGTTTTTCCTCAATCTCGATAGGTTATTCTGAGTTTATGACAAATCTAATGTTGATAGAACTTAAAATGAGAAGGCAAAATTAAGGGCAAAACCCAATTGATATCTCATATTAACAAAAACTTGTTTATATCACCAATTTTTCTCTCTCCTCCTTCACATGAACATTTCTTTCTTCTCTCCTCTATTCCCATGGCCACTATTTCCTTCTTTCTAGCTCCTCCCCTCCTATGGCCATGGCCAAGATCGATCACTTTAGCGGCTTTAAATCTGTCGATTGGCCAAACAAAAGACACCCTAGTAGCAAATTATGAAAATTGGGCCCATACTTACCCCGTAGGGAAAGGGATTTGCTTATGTTGGTGGTGCTCATGGTGGTGTGGCAGTTGAATGGTGGTGTTAATGGTCATGCGGTGATTGGCTCGTGGCGCTACTGATTGTGCGGTGGTCAGTTGATGAAGCTAATGGTCGTGTGGTGGTGCGGTAGGTGGTACTAGTGGCTGTGCAGTGGTGATAGAGGGGAGAGAAAAGGAGTGGTTGCTAAATTCACTCATTTATCCTTGATATAATTGTTAAATTTACAAAATTAGCCTTGATATTAACAAGTTTTGATAACCATATTTTCTTAAAAATTAATATGCAACTTCTTTTTTCACCTATATTAATGTACACATATTCTAATTTACAGACTAATAAGATTTTTCAATTTTTGTAAAATTTACAAAATAAAAAATAAAATAAAACACACATTTTGGTGACAAAAGATAACAAGTCAATAACTTTCCCATAAAATTTTAAGCCTATCTTGTGTCATCGTGTGTGGCTAGCCACACTATGTGACCATTTATAAAATAACAAAGTAATTCATGTAACACTGACCAAGTAACCCTTATATATTGACTGAGTAACCCCTATAACACTAACTGAATAACTCAATAACACTGATGAAGTAACCCCTTTAACACCGATCAAGTAACCCCTATTACGAAATATTTTCCGTGTTGGCATATGCACCATGCTCGTGCATTCGGTTTTCTTTAAAAAAAAGGCGGAATGAACATATAGTTGTTCAGTAAATAACATATAGTTGTTTTTGTAAAGAACATATAGCTATTTTATAAAGAACATCACATATGATTGTTTTGTAATGAACATATACTGTGTTACTCGGACACAACATTTTTGTCGTCATACCAGGGTCGATACGACCCGACAAGGATCCGGATTTGTAATCCGTTCCGGATACGTCTTTAGCTGTCGGGTACGACAAGATTGTCATGAAAAGGTTTTACATGGTAGGGAGGAAGCAACCATTGAAGAAGCGAAGATATAAAGAGAGAATAAGAAAGCAACGGTCGAAGCTTTTAAGGAAGATAAATGATTTTTTTTTACCTTTATTTGAAAATGCTTTGTGGTTTCCCAAGAAGTACAGTAATAATTTTTTGTACTGTTCATTTATTTATTTATTTATTTTTTAAAAAAAACTTTGTGGTTTCCCAAGGAAGAAAACTGTTTGTATAGAGCTAAAAAGGTTTTGTGGTTATCATTCATTTTTGGTTTACTCAGTAATTACTCTTTTGGTTTGGCTTCCCAAACAAGCCTCCCCAATATTTTATACGGAGTACTTAGTTAAAATACTACGTTGTTCATCAATTTAGGTAATCAATTTTAATGAATAAGTTTAATTTTGTTGCACAAATTATTTGCATGTTTTTTTCTTAAAAAATTTATATTGTGTATTCGTACCCGAGTCCAAAGTTAAGACGGTGTCCCGTGATTTAAATTTCTGAAAATGTCGTATCGGATACTCAGATCCGTACCAATATCGGATACCCGTACCCGTATCAATGTAACATAGATCTGGTTGTTTTTATAAAAAATATAGTAAAAAAACATCATAAAGAACATGTGTAATATTAATAAAGAACATTATATATATAATGTAATGAATATTATTTTTATTCAACAAAAAAAAAAAAAATAATAGTATCTTTTACAGAACATCTAGCTTTTCAATCTTTAAATGAATTATTTGTCCCATAATTGAAGAGTTTTGGTAATTATTTCCCTATCTCAATTTAGAAATTTGTATATTTCTTCATATATTAATTTCATTTGTTCGAATTCTTTAGAAAATCTTAGAGAGAGAAATAGAAAATTTATAGGAAAAAGAAATTCCACTGATTAAAGACAATGCCTGTGCATGTAGATTGAGTTTGGTAGTGCTTTTGATAATTGTTTTGTTAATGGAGTGATTGCTAATGAAGGTTAATACGTGGATTTGTTGATCAAAGATCGAAGGTAATTTTGAATGAAATATTGTATTTATTTTCCATTAATTGTGTTATTTTAGATTTGAATTAGAATATTTTGTAATCATAAATTCATTGTTTATTTTCCTTTTTGAAATTTGATGAATATAGATATTGAATTTGAGAATAATGTGACAAAGCTTGAAGATGATGTTTTTATAAGATAGTGTTATGTTCATCATTATTAATAGCTCTATGTTCTTTTTTTTGGGAAATTATCATTTGTACATCCCAGATTTGGGCTTTTATCAATGATACACCTACTTAAGTTTTAACTATCAGTGGTAAACCACTAAACCTGTACTTTCAACTAATTAGCTATAAATAAGAATTCCGTTAACTATGACTGCAATTTTGAGTTTTTGACCATTTTAACTCTCTTCTTTTTTCCCCTCCTTATTTTCCCTCTTCTTATGTAAAGTAACCCACCTTTGTCATTATATAACGAAGCCTCCTCATTTGTCATTATATAAATGAAGCCTCCTCATTTGCTCTGATTTATGTAGCTTTCATCTTCTTTTTCTTCTCCATTTATAGTGACAGAGGTGGATGGATGGGTTACTTTAAATATAGGAGGGAAAAAAAAGGAGGGAGTTAAAATTGATCAAAATTGTACGTCATTAACCTATATGCTAATGTATAATTAACGGAATGCTTACTGTAGGTAAGTGTTGAAAATATAGGTTTACCACGGATAGTTAAAAGTTAAGCAGGTGTATCATTGATAAAAGCCCAAACTTGGGGTGTACCAATGATAATTCCTTTTTTTTTTTAATATCTCTCATGTTCTTTTAAAATAAACGCTAAAAAAATTATCACGTTCATTACATTTTAACACTATGTTCTTTTCACTTTAGATATATGTTCTTTAATAATTACAATTTTATAACATGTTCTTTTCACTTTAACTAAATGTTCTTTCCACTTTAATTAAATGTTCTTTACATCTCTATACAATGTTCTTTCCGTTTTTTTTTTTTTTTTTTTTTTGTGGAACAGATGTACCATGCACATGATACACCCGCCTCCACAAACCATTAATTGTCCCTATTACACTACGAAGTAACCCCTGCCACACGCCCACACGGTGTGACTAACCACATATAAGACTTTATGTAAATTTTAATTAAGTGAATATGCTTATTTGATTCTTTTATGTGACACAAGCATAGATTAGAAATTCCAAAAGATGATGACCAAACGATATGTGCATATTTGCGCGCGCGCACACACAAAAAAAAAAAAAAAAAAAACCAAACCTACTTGGTATTAACAAATCCGGTATTTAATTAGTTATCTTATCCTTTGAATTAATGCGTACTCCATTTTATAATCACAATGAATCTGTCATGCAGAATAATACTATAACTTGGATTAACTTTAAGGCCCTATTTTTTTGAGCTATTTTGTTATGCTCTACTCCGTCCTGTTGAAATCTGCTCTACTCCGTCCCGCTGAAATCTGCTCTGTTCTACTACTCCCTCCGCTTCGCATTAGTTGCAACAGTAGGCTTGACTTATAGTTTAAGAAACTTATAGACTAATCTTATAGCTTTATAATATAAAAATATTGTTAATAAAAGATAAAAATTATATTAAAAAAAAGTAGTGTGAGTGGGGTTGGTAGGAAAGAGAAATAATAAAATATTTGTGAAAATGGGGTGAGTGGGAGAGATAGATTATAAAATAATGGTAGATCCTTTTCAAATATAATAGTTTTGCAACAAACATAAAACGGCCGAAAATGAAAAGTGTTGCAACTAATGCGAAACAAAGAGAATAGGGTAGACTTAACTTTTATGTTTTGAGAAGTGAGGTAACTTTCACAAAATTTAGTATCTGGTCACAAAATTGGAGGGGGTTGAAGTTGGGACTACCAGAGCACAATCATGCACTTTCAAGAAGATGCACAGACTAGACTACTATCAAAAACAGGTTCAGAAGACAAGATGCAATGACTTAAACCAGGATTAACAATGTTGATGGGTAACATTACATTGTCAGAAAAACAGGCACTAAGGCTCTGTAACTAATACTTTGTAATTCGTATATTTGAGAACAAGTGTACTCGGTATTATGTCCTCCTAAAAGGATAGACAGAAAACAAGGAATTTTAGTATCTGGTCTGCATATCCTCAAAGTGTGCAATTCTAACTTAAAACTCAAATGTAACTTCCTTTGTGCATTAAGAAGCTTTCATGTCATCCAAGCCCACACTAGCCTGAAACACGAGGAGGAAAAACGAGCAACAGAATAAAGAGCATGGTAAGTTGATGCATAAAATCAACAAAACAAGATACGAGATTACAAGCCATATAACTAGTATTCCAAGCATAAGTCGCAAAAGTTACCACATTTAAGTGGAAGACAAAAAACGAAGTACTACGTATGTGTTTCCTGCTACACATTACATTTTCAATCAGAGCTAAAAAAAAATCTAATAGCTTGTGAAGGCAACACCAACCTGTAGCATACTCACCCTGTCCCAAAATTATAAGCCATGGTTGTATTTTTGGACGCCTCAAAAAATGATACCACATTATAAAATTTAGGGGTCGTTTGGTTCGCACGGGGTAATCAGAATGGAATGAACAAAGGGAAAGAAAAGAAATTCAATGAAAAACCCCCAAGTTTGTTATGTTGTTTGTTTTGAATAACAAAGGGAAACAAACTACCACTTCCACCACCACACAAGACCTATTATCTACCTTCTCCACCAACCATCCAGCCACCATACCACTCACCGCCCTCCCCCACCACTCGCCGCCCCTTCCCGCCCACACGCCTCCTATTGCCGGAGCTCCCCAACCCTCGCCAAAAATCCCCTCCCCCGAAACCGCCCCCCCCCCCCCCACCCACCTCCAGCAAAACCCTAAAAACTCACCCACTTCCCCGTAAAACAGCTGGTCGGCCCTCCTCCCCACCTCGAAACCTAGATAGGGTTTCGATGGTGGCAAGAGGATGTTTGGCTGTTTTAAGGGGAAGGAGAGGTGAGTTTTTAGGGGTTTTTGAGAGAGTGGGGGAGTTTTTCAGGGAGGATATCTTCGGCGAGGGAAGGGGGAGCTCCGGCGATGGGCGGGGGAGATCCGACGAGGGACAGTGGAGGTGCGGCGATGGTGGTAGGTGGTGGGGTTAGGGTAGGATGGCGGTGGCTGGGTGTTACGGTGGTTAAGGAAAAGGAATGAAAAAGTCTAGGGGGGTGGAGAATGAAGTTGGAAGGATTTGGGGTAATGGAAAGGGTAAAAAGAATGAAAAAACATGCCAAACAAACAACAATAACAGGAATTAGGGCAATTGATTTCCATTTCCTTTGATTAATACCCCCAACCAAACTCATCCTTAGTAAATTGAAATTTATACTTTTCCATGTTTCGTATACCTTAACTGTACCTCAACTAATTTTATAAATGAAAGACTACTTTGGCATGGTTGGAGAAATAAAATTAATTAAGTGAAGAAAAGTTGTGGGTTTTAAGACTGGGAAGAGGTAAAACTTGGGTACTTCTACTTCTCTATGCAACATTGTTAAATAACATCGATAAAAAAAATGATTAGTGAGAACGACTGGTAAAGACATTCAAAGTTTCACACACATTTATCATTGATTATTTTAAGTTCATCTTACCAAAAACTTGTGGTTTTGCTGAAGCAGGGGATTGAAGGTGGTCAAAAACTGCTCAATGTCGCACTTGACAGCATCGCCCCCAAGCACCTCCATAAACTTGTTCCTATCTGGAGCTAACTTCATTGCAATCTGCAAGAACAGTTCATACTCCGTGAAAATTATACGGAAAACACCTTTGACACTACAGCCTGGGTATCATTACAGCAGATTTTGCGTTATCTATGAGTCAGCAAAGTTCAACAATGGGGTAACTGCCTAAATACTTTGTACATACAATTGGAATGAAGATAGATAGACAATGCCACGCAATGGGTACATGTTAAAGAAGCTTATCAATTGGCTTAATTGAATGGAGTATAAATTATGTATATATTTCACCAAACAATGAACACACTCCATCCAATCAAGAGAAAACATACTTAGGCAATTTTAGGAATACTCCACATAAAAGGGCACGGAACTCTATTAACTGGAAGTGGAAAGACTTACAGAGAAGCTTGAACTGGCAAGCCACCCATGCCATTTCTTCAAGGTCTTGCCATAGGAGTCGGTACAAGCTTGAGACATTGACCAGTCTGGGTGCTCAAGCAAATTGCGGAATAATTCCACCAAGAAATCCATAGCTCTACAAAGTAAATACAAAATGTCATGCACTACCAATTGCAAAAACAGAGAAAATACTTTGATAAAAGGAAGTTTATCCCATTCATGATCACATAACTCCAGTATTCATCACATGCTGGGTCAGACAGAAGGTTATGATATAGAGATTAGGAATCCATAGATCATGATAGGAGTGAGAAAAGTAAAAGGAGAAGGATGCTAATTGTCAATGCCTCTCCACAATCTCAACACAAAAACTCAAAAGTAACAAGTCGGTCGTAATGATCAACTCTTGTCACTTGGAAGTGGACTACCAAGTAAGTATTAACCTGCCTTCACAATAAGAGGCAACAAATTATACAGAAAGACAAACATGAAATCGTACTATGATCTACCTTGTTAGCCAAAGCAGGCCGTTGGTACAGCTGGATGATCCTTTAGCTGTCTTACTTTCAACCTCCACTTGTACCATACTATACAAATACTTAAATTTTTCTGGATCTGAGTTTGTACTTGTTTTCCAATCTCTGCAATAATATTTCTGATCAATGCCAAATTAAGAAAGATATAGAGGCATCCAAAATTTTGTCAATTTCAACTTGGCTTAGAGATCACATGATTCAAATCAGGAAAAGTTTCAATAGGAGGTGTTTCCCTTGTGATCATGCATTTTTCTGTAGAGAAAGGCTTAAAACAAAAATAGAAAAACGAAGATAACCAAAATACAAGTAGGAGACTTTTTCCATAATCCTACTAGAAGGCTCATAGAAGATATCCAAGAAGGAAGCATCACGGGACAGAGTTACAAATGTAGATTCCTACCCCCCCCCCCCCCCAAACCCACAACCCAATAATAAACCGCAAAATGGGCCAAAAAAAAAAGAAAAGAGTATGCACATAAGAATTTTGAGAAGGAAAGTAGCTTACCGTAATATTTCCACCAATATCAGATTTTACAAGTGTCATTGCAGCACCAAATTTGTCTGCATCGGGCAAATTATAAAAATAAGAACGCTTATATCAGCCAAACATTGCAGACATGAGGGGAAGAAGAGAGGAAGGGGGGGGGGGATCTTCCCTCACTCTAATTCACTGAGCAGGTAATGTAATCAGAACTCAGAAGTAATAAACAATGTCTTCCTTAATAGCTAAAACCTTACCCGAGTGATCATAATCAACAAAGAGCAGTCCATAAACTACCAAATAGAAAGCTACTGATAAAGAAGTAACAATTATATCTCATGTCCAAACTAAGTTCATAAACTTCCTAATATTGTGAAGTCATAACCAGAAATGTATGAGGTTGGGACTATGCGACAGCTACTTCCCCTATAAAATTAGAGGTAATAAAACTATATCCTGTACACAATATAATTTGAATAAGAGTAATAAAAAAATGAGGTGGATATGGCAGGGATACAATCAGGAATCACAATATTGACTCTTTATAATAATATACTTAACTTCAAGTTTTAGAATATAATCATTATAAAGACTTTAGTGTCATATAAGTATCTTATATCACCTATTATAGCCCATGCAAATTGCATGGGCTATTGGGCTTAAAAGCTAGTAGAAAAACTACAATAAACACCAGACACTACATTGACGGACCTATGACAGGCAGAATGTGCTTGCATGCATCCAAGAAAGGCCTGGTCAACATTTCTCCATCCTCGGACTTGACCAGCTTAATTCCTTCCAAAGCTGGGGTAAAGACACTTCCTTGAGTTCCTTCCATATTGTCCCTAACTGCACCAAACAATTACATAACACATTATTAAAGATATCAGCATACCAGATATGAATTCTAAAGCACAACGAGGCCACATTAATTAGGCCTGAGACAAGCACTACAGAGAGGTGTAAAGTTAGGTTTGGAGATTTCTCTTCTGAAAAGTACTCTCTTATTTATTCTATTTTTTAGTGTACAAATGCATTTTTACACCAACGAGGCAACGAGTATAATAACAAGCCCAAACTTAGTATTGAAACCAAGAGTCTACACAGCACAATTATGTCCAACACAGCAATGCAACAAGCAAACAACAAGAACTTTGAATTCAAGTGAAGTTTATAACATTGACCTTTGTGGCTCTCTCAACGCCCAAAAAACCAATGGCTTTTCGTTTATAAAAATGTTCAAATTGATCAACAACTCAGAAAGCAGCAAATTACAGGCAATATTATATTTGTATCGGCATAGATAACCAGCCAATCATAAAAACTTCAACTTTTCCAAGAAATGACTTTAAGCACATTATTGATCAAACGATTTTTTTCAACCAACACATTATTATACTATCGAAATCTAAAGGTAAAAATTGGCAAAAACTCTGATAAGACTCTTAATAGTCAAAGTTTATAAGTGTCAAACTACAAGAATATTTCATTAATCATACACAAACCCATTCATATCAATACAAACTCAATCTTATAGCATCAAGATTTGCTACCTATTAATGTCAAATTAGGCCAAAAATGAACCACTTTCGCACATTAATTCTCATTTTTCAGATTGCAATTCGCAGAGATAAGCTAATCAGGTAACACTAATAGACATCATCAATACATCAAACATACTTCAGTATAGCATTTTGCATTCACACATTTATTTACACCATGAAACAATTAAACAATCAAAATGAAGCTTAAACACATAAATTACAAACTTTATAAACAAAATCCAACAAAATGTCATAAAAAAAAAACAAACATACCACTAACAACAACAATCTGATCAGATCCAACAAAATTTGCAGCAATCAAACTTATAACTAAAGATTATTTTTTTTTAAAATTCAAAATTTAGTATAAAGAAAGGAATATAGAAGTACCCTTTTCAGCAGAAAGCGTAGAATTGAAGCAGAGGTGATCTAATTACGTAAAAATAAAATAGAAAGCAAAGAATCGAAGGAAATGAAAAGGGGGTTTTAGAGAATCGGATTCCAAAATCTATGATGATCAATGAAGCATAAATTAATCAAATTGTACCAAGAAATATGAAATTAAAATGCTGGGGATTTGATTCAAATGTTGATCGATCTAAATTTAAGGGAAAGATTTATGTGGGTGATAAAATGAAAAGGGTGATTACCTGTTTATCTCTCTTGTAAGTGCAACTGGTGTTATTTGCCTTCCAATAAGCTAAGCTTTGGAGAAATGGGGGGAAAGAGTCGATCTCAGCATTTTATTTCGGGTACGAGTACTAAATTACGCCCGCTTTTTACCGGATAACTTCCAATTATTTACTATAGTACGTATTTCACTTCAGATTTGAATAATACACATATGGAGAACAAAGGATGTCCAATTATCCATTGCTTAATTCGGTAATTTCTAATTGTAATACGTTTACAAAATTTATTTTGGGTTACGTTAGATTTATATTTTAGATTTTTAGCACCTGGTTATCATTTTTTTTTTAAACACAGTACGAGGTTATCTTAGTTTGGTACCAAATAAGCTTTATTTTGGTACTAATACACAACTTATCTCATGTTAGACCAAATAATAATACATATTACATACGGAGTATGGAGTACGGAGTACAAAGTATTGCGAGTAGCAAGAATAAGTTGATTTGATTTTTAGTTGTTGATTCTTACATTTGCTGACCATTGTTAATATTTTCCTTGATTCATAGGGGAAGTTGCACTTGTTTACAACATTTTTATGCAATAAACATTTCTTCCCTGCACACTAAAGCCACACTGTTCTCAAGTATCTCAAAGATTAAAGTAAAATCAAATGCTTTAAATACTCTTCAAACAAGCCCAATCTATTGCATCATGTTCAATTCCATTATATGATACAATTGTTTTCTTTTCCATACTCGATACTTAGACCATCTTTTCAGTCTAAAACTTGTACATTTGAAAACACGATTGAGCAAATATAACTCAAGCTCGACTATAGCAAACAGAAATTAAACACCAAGAAAATTGCTTTATAAAATTGTTGCATTTCCTCAACTACACCATTTGCTCACTTTGATAGATGACTTAATTGGTTGATCTATAACAGAAAATGCAACAGCCTTAAAGCCCATTGACAGGGTATTTAACCGCGTTTTTTACCATTTTCTTCAGAGCAGCATCAGCAAGGTCTATGCCACAGATATCAGACAGTCTGATGAGATATAGCAGCACATCAGATAACTCTTCACCCAGATGCTCCTTGTCTGAGTCCTCCCAATTTGGTAACCCTTTTGCCACCTCTCCTTTCCATTGGAATATCTCGGACAGCTCTCCAACTTCACCCACCTACAAGTGTAAAGCATATAGACATAAAGATGAGAACGGAAACTAAGAGCATCAACAAACAAATTCCTGATATGAAAAATGTTTATTTTAACATGGTATCTTTAATCAAACGATTTCAAATGACAAGGCATCTTTATAATCTTCATGTTAGAAAATATTCTCATCTGCTAATTCAGGAAGTGTCACCTCAGAATATATCAATTATTCTGAACCCCCACTAGTCACTAATATTTGTACCAACTACTCAACCGGAAAGAATCATGTAAACATCACCATCAATCTAGTCACCTGAAACTTCACCTCATCAAAGCCTTCAAAGGTAATTGTATGACGAGGCATCACAATCAACCACATATACTCGTATAGCATCTAGCTAGCTAGGTCCTGCTTCTAGGTGTCGCGCTACAACAGTGACCTGCACGTACACCATTTGTACCTTAAATTTGTTGTGATGAAAATCTTCCTACACTGTCACCGACATTAGAGGATGAACCTGCTAAAAGGTTCCTTAGGGTAATGAATTATGGATCATAATTAACGAACTATTTCTTATCAGAAGAACGGGAGCTAAACAGTTAGACAACATAAGGATACCAGAAAAAACTCAACCAGCTAAAATTTGAACCTAATAAATCAGCAAGTAAGAGGTGTTGCAAGTAATATCGAAAAAGACTAGTAATACAAATAAAAGTTAGAAAACAAAAGAAAGAAAGAAAGAAAGAATAAGAAAAGATTGATTCTATGAAATTGAACAAGTGTTCAGCTTTACATAATTGAAAGCTATGCATTTTAGAAGAGCATCTCTGAAACCACTGACAAAACTAGCCCCTGCATATCATTTGGAAATTTTCTATCTTTCAGAAAATGTATATAAGCTATAAGACTCTTAACAACCTAAATTCTTGGCATCAAATGATAAAGAAAACTTAATCACGATAACATATTAATCTTGTTCTACCACAAACAATTACGATGAAATACATAAACAGAATGAACTAGACAGCTAGTACAAACTTGGCTTATGATAAATAAAAAAAAAAAAAAAAAAAAAAAAAAAAAAAAAAAAAAAAAAAAAAAAAAACTTACCATAGCAAGAAGTAAGTTCCTAGGACTATGATACTTCTCCCAGTCTCGTGCCTGAGCGAATTCTTCGAGTTTCTTAGAGATATCCTTCAGGCTAATCTCCTTCACAATCTCTCCTGTCATACAAGTTTCACTCATGGTAATGATGCTAACAGCTTCAGTCAACAATACACTTGTTTAAGACTGCAATGCAGAACAATGAAGAGCTACCACAAGATTTAAAGGCAAAGATAGTACTATAAATTTCACAAGTAAAAAAAAAAAAGAAGAAGAATATACCAATCTGAATTCTTTTTTGTGAAGAGAGGAGGTTTAGGGCCAAATTATTCTTACACATTGACAGATTCCTCACTAACCGCCCACCATACAAAATAGGCAACTTCCCTACATCAGAATAATTCCCTTAACCAAGGTTTGCAGTTTGCATGATAGTTGTAATTGTTTAATTATAGTTGAAATCGGACACATATGCCAACTGACTTAGCTACAATTATCTTTGGGTGGTAACCAACTAACCACTAAGCAAAATAAACTATTTATCAAATCCCGCCCACATCATTGTTGTTTGAGAATATGAGTTTTTGCTTATAAGTTGAGACATTCATGTATCATGTAACCATACAACTAACTAATCTTAATTTTTAATGGGCAACAAATGCACAATCATTAATAAAAATAAAATAAAATAAATGTGTATATGCAACCCGTCTTGTGTGCAGCTAGCCACATCGTGTGTCTGCTTGTTAAAGAATAAAGTAACTCCTATAACACTATCGAGCAACCCTATAATATTGATTGAGTAATCTAACCCCTTCAACATTGAGTGACTAATCTCTATTACATTGACCAAGTAACCTCTGTAATACTAATGAAATAACCCCATGATGCAAATTAATTCCACTTTAAAGAAGGGGCAGATGAGATTTGAAAACGTGACCTCTATGTCACGTTGGCTCCGATACCATATTAAAGGACCAACTCAACCAAAAGTTTAACCTGATGATTGAGGCCCAAGAATATGTTTTATACTCTATCACACACCTCACAGCACATATAGACACCAGCAAATAGACTTTTTAATAGACTAGGTCTTAAAGTTGAGGGGATGGATTAATTGTATTCGTGTATCTTTCTTTGAGAAAAAATGTAGCTAGCTAAGCTTCACCTGTTGAAACTATTGGCCCCATGTATCACATTTGAATCATTTTCGATAGTGAGAGGTTGAGTCTTTATCAACACAATAGCATTCAAGCAATATGAGAAGATGATTATCTTTTATCTTGGCCTGATTTTTTGCTAGTGTTGACAATTTGCTTGGTTGCATTTGTAGACAAGGACTTTATATGGGAGTAGTGATAGACCACTACCAGGTATGGGCTCGTTGGGCCCATACCAGGGGCAAAAATGTAATATTGCGTAAAACTTACCCATGTTGTAAAAATTTAGTCTCTCTCCGCTCAATAACCGTATACAAATTAAGAATAACAGTATACAACCCAAGATTAACAGTACACAAACTAATAATAACAGTACAGAAATCAGTAATAACTGAGCATCGACAAACAGGTACCATCGTCAAATTCGACCGCACTCAACGATTTCCAGCATAGAGCTCACCGATTTTAATGGCTACCATCATCAATTGCGACAGAACTCAACGATTTTCGGCATAAAACTCACCGATTTTAATGGCTAAAGCCATAAGTTTGTGTCTCTCGTTTTTGGTTTATGTTTTTTTGGGTGATTTCCGTTGATTTTTAACGGAGGTAGTTGCAAGGTAGTAGCTGTTGGAGTGGGTTTCTTGCTGTAGGAGGTGAAGGTGTGGTGGGCAGAGGTTTGGCCGGCAATGGAAACTATCTATGGAGGTGGGTAAAGGATTTAAGGGAGGAAGAAGATGAAGAGGAAATGGAAAAAAGAAAAAAAAAAAAAATTATATTGTGGTATTGGGTAGTATTACTCATACCTGATAGTGGATAATACTTACTTGCATATATATATATATATATACACCTATGAGTATATATGTATCTGACTGTCAAACTCGACTTGTTATAAAATTTTACCATAGTTAAATTAGTGGTTGTTCAAAATGTTGAGCCACACTATATTGTAGAGTTAGGGTTTGTTCACATTTACTTAATTTCAGTTCAGTTCAACTCAGCTTCTAATTTCCCTCTCTCATAAATATTCATTTCAGCTCAGCTCAGTTCAGTTCAGTTCAGTTCAATTCAGCTCCAATCAGTTCAATTCAATTCAACTCCAATCAGTTCAGTAAATGTGAACAAGCTCTAAAGGACAGATTTAACACCTTTCATAAGGTGATATGATTTGATTCTAATCATATAAAAAGTTCCAGTAACAATATAGCTTCAAAGTACTTTTTTTTTTCTTGGGCTGCCCCTTAGCTTCCTCTCTTATCCTTCCACTAGTAGTTATATTTTCCTATGTTCTTATTATTTTAATTATCATTACAAGTATTCAACACCTAGAGAAACATGCATGAAACTAAGCAAAGCATCATACAAAGTTTTTTTTTGATGAACTGATAATATATATTGTTTCGGATGAAAACAATCGAATCTCGGAAGATCCTTTTATCTTGAGGGAACTTGGTCTCGGTCCGAACGACGCAGGAGCCGAGGGTTTCCTGCACAACAAATACACGTAAACTAGCCTCAAGGGGGACGCCGAGGAAGGCCCCTCCGATGCTTAAGTCAGTATATTAGAGAGAGAAAGCTGTGCAAGAGTTTAGTTGCTTGAGGCTTTATTGTCTTACCAAGAATTGACCAAATTGTTGGCTTTTATACCTTGGCTAATGAAGGAGGCGGATTGGGCCCGGAAGTCAATTGGGCTGGGCCAAGCTGATTGGGCCGTTGGCTGACCTTGACATGGCTTTGAGGATGTTGATTTTTGACTTTAGCACATTTGGAGAGTTGAACCTTAACCTTGGGCTTTTAATTGGATCATTCAGTGACCAGGCCCAATTGGACTAAATTGGACCCAAACAACTTGCCCCCCAGACCCGATTTGGAAGGATGACGGGTCGGGTTTGATTTAATCAGAAAAGGAGGGAAGTGAATGATTTGTTAATCCAAAAATGTGAATTTAAACCATAATTAACCCATGATTAATGAGATAACAACAGTTAATGTGGATAATTGCGGAAGTTGGACGGGTAGTGGGCGATTTAACTGCAAGGTCGTGTGTTTAACGGTTACTTAGTGGGGTGCTTGAGAGAAATTGAAACGCAGACTCCTTGAATTCCCATTTCTGGAGATATAAATAGAGGCGCGTCTTCTCTCCCCACTCATTCATCAACACAAACCCAGAATTCTCAAGAACGCTCAAGAGCCCGCATCAAAACTTCGCAAATTCCCCGAGCATTAAGCTTAGAAGCTGAGACTTGTCACTACCAATTCGTAAATCGGCGACTTTTGCTTCAGATCAAGGTAAATTCCTTTGATTTTATTTCATTTTTCTTCGACTTTGCACTCTTTCCCCTTTTTCGACTTTTTCCTTCGAAATTCGTCAATGGTGAGGGGAGTTAGAGGTGGAGCCCGTGCTCCAAGAAGAGCAAGGCTAATCCCCGATCCCAGGGACAGGATTGGGACCTGGAATGGACGAAGGACAGAGTCTGACCCTGCTGAAGGGGTTAGGGCGACTCCCATTTCTTCGGCTCCTCCTCAGAGGGCTGAGGGGGTGAGCGCTTCAGGACGGGATGATGAAATTCCCGCTGTCCTTTGGGATATCCTCCCAGGGTTTTCAGAGTGGGAGGATGCCGAAGTAGCTTCGGCCATGATAAAGAACCGCCCCTACTCATGGTGGGTGGAGAATGCTGATCAGTACCGGTTTGCCGAGCAAATTGAGTTGCATTACGGCATCCTTGAAGCCGATGGGTATTGGTGCCGAATGCCCACGGCCTCCGATAGAATCCACCGTCCACCCCCGGGGTATGTGGGGGTGTACACAAGACAA